CCCACATAGGTGGCTATGAACACCACCAAATTCACTGCAGAGGCATAGGATAGCTGTGTAAGTGTCAAATTTATTCTGAATTCCAACAAGAATAGATGCCTACGTGACCATGCATTCTTCATCAGCACAGAATCAGATCATTCAATCCATTCTCCACAACTTCCACCTAACTATGAGAGAGAAAACAATCCTCTTTTTGAAACCCTCAGAAATAAAAATGGTTGACTCAATTAACTGACAGTTAATTCATATACGAAAACAAGCTCAATACAATATATAAGGTAGGCTTTACTGATCATATACAGAGTAGCAGATTTGTTTTTGTGCCTCCTATAAGAGCCTCAAAAATCTATAAGCTTTATAGACAATGTTGGCTAATAGGAACTCAGTGGAATTTGAAATTCATGGGATTATTTCCTCTACGGGATAAAGAGGCTAAGCTTTTTTTTTTTTTTTTTGGTCTAGACAGGAAAGTGCTGTAGGAGTTACAGATCAGACTTCGTGGTTGACCATTCAAGTTGCCTGCAAAACTTGAAGAACTCACTTGTCTCATTATGAGTTATACATAACATTTTAATAGGAACTACATGCCCTAGATAGTGCACTCTAGGGGAATTAATGTACTTCTCTGATTAAAAAGCCACTTAACTTCTCAATATGAACCTTGCGGTAATGAATTCCAGATATTACAAAGAAAAGCATTCAGTCAAAATTAATGGATGCCTGAACCTACAGATCTGATGGCCCATTTATAACAACACATTCTTCCTGAAACTAGATAGCTTCCCAAACATATGTTTTAACATTTGTTATTTTATTTCTGCTGAGGAGAAGGGAGCATTTCCCACCATGAATTTTCTTTTAAAAATTTATTTCACTTTTGCCCTATAGAGTGGAGCATGACAACTGGAGGAAGATGTTGAATTTCAACAATCCAATGGGCAACCATACTTGGAAATCAAAGTTAGTACATTTCTTTTCATTGCCAACAGTATGTTAAATAATTTGCCATCTTGTACATCAGTTAAAACTTGGAAAAGCTGAATATTAAATTATAACTTTTACAATCTGTAAGGTCCATTAATTGAAAGATACACTGTTAATTAAAGTTTAACTGATGTGTTTCTACATCAGAAGTAGTCAAAGAATTTATAGCTCAGACACCAGGGTAGCCTGCATTACCTTACTAATACAGTCACTCTAGAAAGAGATAAGTGACTCCTTGCTAGCAGAAATTAACTCCAGTGTGAGTTAAGCTCCCTCTTCGCTCATGGCCTCATATACCCTAAAACAATATGTATTTTATGATTTGTATTATATGTAAAGGAGCAGATTTGAAATGATTTTTTTTATTAAGCACAGGAACTAAAAAGCTTGCTATGAAAAACCATAACAACCAAGAATTTATTTTGCAGCTCCATTCACTGAAAAACCATCTGCAGTTTCTACTAATTAACTCTCATACAGCACAATCCAAAAAGACATACAAAAGGATTCTGTAAGGAATACAGTCTACTAACTAGATTTTATCTGGAATTCTATTATCAATTTTATGTCATAGTCTATTGACTTCAATGGGACCAAGTTTGTGGAGCTGGATGGAGAATTGTCTATTTATAACCTTTGCAGAATCAAGAGCGATAATAAGAACATAAAGGCACATTTAGAGTGCAAGCCTATCTCTGTCTACTCGGAAGTAACTTCAATCTGGTTCAATGGAACTTACTCCTATGTAGATATGTATATGATTACAGTTGAAAAAAGGCTTCTCAAAACCATTCAAACTCTACAAATATAGAACAAAAATTAATTTTAATAGATGGGAGGAACAAGAAAACACTCAGTTTGCTATGAAATTTTGTCTTTTCCAAATTTGTTGTGCTAGAATTGGCAAATACTTCTTCTGCTGAAAAGTACAGGCACTGTGCTATTTATTCTCTCTCAATGACCAAAATTTCTTTTAAAATTGCGTGAAGATAAACATTTTTATTAGTTCAACAAATAAGTTACAAATCCACAAGCATCTTCTATTTCATTAAGCTCAAATGTGTTCAGGTTTACAAAGTAACATTTTGAAATATGGTGATGCTGTTCCGCCTTTCCATTAGTAAGTAGGCATAGCTCACAAATATCTCTCTTGGTGCTTCTGCTCCAATCCAGTGAAAATAAGATACAACCTGATTTCCTTATTTACAGCTAAATTCTACTTCTCTGGAACACTCCATCTAATGAATCATTTTTCTCTTTTCGGAGATGAGAGTTCAGTCATTCTTAAACTGGCTTGTCAGACCACATATGAACCACTGAGTGCAAACCAAATCATACACAAAAACTGAAACTATCTGAAGTCAGGGCAAACCAGGCACCTCTTTAATTTCCTTCATGTCTCTTCTCCTAAACGTTTGGGTAACACCAATAATGTTGTATTGAACTCCCATGTCACTGAGAGAGGGTTCTTCAATCTACATTTGTCTGACTCACTTCTAACCATCAAAGGTTTGAGGAAACCTTCCCCAACCTGGTA